GATCATGTTATGACAAGGGTAAGTTGCAAGATTTTTTTAGTTTTTTTTTTATTTATTGCAAATTCTTTTTTTTTAAATGACCTCAGTTATCTTATCTTGCGAGCAAGATATCACATATCATAGCTTTGGAATACTTGAACTTAATCGATTTGTCTTTAGATAAGGCTATTAAATAATATATTAAGTGGAAATGAAATGTATGTATATATGTAATCTAAAGCTTAAGTATATTGCCCTTATGTCTGAGAGGTGTGCTGTTCTATTTTTTTATATTTACTGATTCATTGAGGGGCATTAAACTTTATGGACTTATAATAACTATTTATTATTTAATACTAAAGTTTTAGAAAATTTTATCATTGGAGAAATAATTAAAAAATCAAAATTAGCATGGGAAAAATTTAAATAACTTTAATCCGGCACATTACAGAATGTAAACATTTTTACAGGTTGTAGGACCCATTTAAAATCTAAACGTTTGGAAAGTGGGGCTGTATATACTTCAAAAAAGTTATAGCTTCCCAACATTATTTCATCGGGAGGTTGTATTTAATTCTCCTGAATATATTGTTCTCCAAGGACTTTGGAAAAATTATCCAAATCTACAGGAGTCAGTTTGTTGACATAGATAAAATTTTAAATAAAATATTTTTTCATCTGACCTCTAAATAAATTTTTGACATAAAAGAACGCGTGGCTGGATGTCCTTTTCTTGGCTTACTTAACGGTAGTTAAAATATAAAGGATATTAGATCCTTGAATTTATTACAACTCCAATGGTGTCAAACGGTTTGTTACTGCCAAAACAAAACCAATAACTCCAAAAACAGGACAAAAAAGAACATCAAGGTTATACAGGATGTGTTTTGTTTTGCTCAAAACTACCAGTCTAGTAGCTGGCAATATACCTTTTCAACAAGGTCAAAAGTCACACGACTCAAAATGGCCAAGCGGCAACAACAAATATGAAAACACACATTTAGTTTGCTGATGAACGACCTCGAATGTCACCGCGGTAACAGTTTTCATAATGTCAAGGACATTTGTAGCATTTTGTTTTTTTGAAAAAGGATCTCGAGGTTTTGAATGACACAAAAATTGTGTGTGTTGAAATGGCAATATAATTTGAATTCAGGGTTATTTGTATTACAATGTGGGTGAAGGACATTTTATGAGAATATCCTTTTGGAAGAAAATTTCCTTTATGGGTGAATTTTCGAAAAGGGTTGAAATATCTCGACTGTGAAGGAATGAATTGGAAAAATATTATACAGCATTGAAATAAAGGATTTACTTTTTCTGGAGGTCCTTTATACAAAACAATTCAATATTAATTATTTGAAAGTTCTATTGGAAAAATTGTATTATTCTACAATTAAATTTAAAGTCCTATAAATTTTATTACTCATTCCAAACTAAATTTTGGAATTTTTTCAACAAATTTGATGTCCTACCAAATTAGAACAGTCATAAAAAATTTGATACCAAAAATTCAAATCTGACAGAATTTTATTTTGAAATGTGATGCTGTCACTTTTAATTTGTTGATAAATGAAATTTTTGACATCATTTCTATCAGTTTTTTTGTTTTTCAAAATATCGATCACAAAATACACCCATTGAGATGCCCTGTGATGGGAACGAATTGATGGCGTTAACGTTGAGTTTGTGGGAACATAAACAGATTAAAGTTTCGAAATTGATGTTGAGATTAGCTTACGTTTGCGGTGGCTTTATGGCTTCTTTTGTTTATTTTTTGTTTCTTATGGTTTATAATTTGTATTTATCAAGAAGCCGTATGTGTCAATAAATGTCAAAATAAATATTTTTTTCGCAAACAGCGAGAAGAGGATCAGAATTAAAAAAATAATCAAATTTGTCAGATCAACTTTAGACAATGATTCATTTGCCAGAATTCCATTTCTATTGCCTTCCGTATATTGTTTATGTCACAATAAATCCAATTTTGATTTGTTTAAATTTTAATTTTTCTTTCAAAAGCTTTTTGTTTATTGTTTATTTACTTTTTGTTTCAAGTTTATAAATTGAAATCGAAGAAAAAGAGGAGGAAATAAAAAAAGAAAAAATTCATTTTGATCTCATATGGATTGTAAATAAAAACTAAACATTTCCGAATGCAGTCATAATGATAATAAAATTTCCTTATTGGCTTTAAAAAAATAAATAAAAAATGGCAAAATTTAAAAAAAATGCGAACAAAAAAAAAAACTAAATTATAAATATTGAAAAAAATCTGCTTCATTTTTATTTATTTTATAAAAATAATTTACTCTTGACCCACAACAAAAATATCAGAAGTTTTTATTGTTTTTTTTTCCAAAGCCACATTCAACTTGATTTAGTCGCCTTAGAATTTTTACAACAACAACAAACAAACCATAAACGCATCTTAAATTACAAACATGCCACACGAGAAAACACCTGCATTTAAAAATTACAAACCAAAAACAATAAATCTGAGCTTTTGCTTTTGGGGTTGCTAAACTAAACTGGATATTGTCATATAGTAAATTTAAAGAAAAAAGTAATTAGATCCTTTTGCTTGTTTTTTTATTGGATAATGAATTCATTTTTTGGTCAACAATCTACCAAACGGAAGAGAAAACTTATGAAAACGGAAGAAATCAATGCACCCTTGTATTAATTTCAAAAAACAAAAGAAACACTAAGAAAAAATCAAAAATAAAGAACTAAAATCAGGTTAATCGTGGGCTGCTTTAAATTACTGCTTCTCTTCCCCTCCCATTTTGTGTTAAGCTCTTAATGTGTCATCACAATGCGTAACCCTTGAGTTTATGACTCACAGCAAAAAAGCACTTAAAAACTAGTGGTGGTAATGCTAAACACTCTCTCTCTGCTCATACTAATATCCCCTTCTCTTAATTTTACCCTATCATTGTGTCTTGTCTTTGTTTTGTGTTTTTTAACACCCCTCTCTCATACACACGCACACTTACACTTGTATCAATCGCCAATCTCCTGTAAGTCCTTTTTTAACATTACTATGTAAGTAATACTGTGGCACCAAACACCGATGTGTGTGGCCATCATGTTAATAGGCACGAGTATAAGTACCTGAGATTTCCTGTATTACCCCATCGCAACGCAACATACTATACTAACTTTAGTAAGTATTTTAATGATATTAAATTAAACAACATCTATCTGTGTAATGGTGGTGGTGCTGGTGTGCCACAATGAATACACAACGACATGGGCCGAGATGCAGTTGCTATTTTTAGAAATAGTTACAATAGACCATAGGGGAATAATGATGATGATGACCATAATTGCTTACATTGTTGGTAGTAGATATTACCTTAATATGGCAACACATTAAAATTGTAATTGATTTTTGGGAGGAAGAACAAGAGATTGTTTCCTTTTGGCATAGCAACTCTAGGAGATAACTATCATTACATTGAATGTGTAATAGTAACAGAAGAGAACTTGTTATCGATACTCATCACATAGGGAATCATGTAGGAACACAAACAACAGACATAACAGAGCAAGATTAACACTACTCGTATTTCACGCGAGTCTCATCATCGGCTTTGGAGAAAGTAAACCGTAGTACTTACTCTCTCTCTCTCTCTTGTGAAAGAGAGTGAAATACGCATCACTAACACTGTTAGTTCATTGCAAACGGTTCTTATCGTGTGATGAACGAAGAGACGAGCTTTATTCTCACCACGCAAACAGTTTCAGCATCTCTTCACAGTGTATGGAGAACAAATAGGAAACACGATGGTATTAAGCAATGGTGGGCAAAATTACTCTTAAAAAATGTTTAAGGGAAAATAAAAACATAAATTATTCTGCGGAATTTATTTAATTTAATACTTTTAAAACATAAATAACATCCCAGGAAGCTCAAAAAATAAATTCATTAAAAACTTGTGGAACATTTTTCATTAAGTGTTATTTTTGTTTTAACATCAAAAAATGTTAAGAGAACGCATCAACGCTGGTGTGCACGTCTGCCCAACTATGGTATTAAGTCAGTGTTGGGCAAAATTAAATTGAGAGCAAGTGTGTGCGAGCGTAACTGAGAATTCACCATTAAAAACGACTGACGTAAAGAGAGAGAAAGAGAAAATGTGTTTACCAATCGACCCTCAGTTACGGTAGCGTATATGGGTAAGCATGCCTGTATTAAGTAAACATGATGCAAAGTATCTCTTTTCTTCGTTTTTCAAACGATTCTCAATCGGTTAACGAAAGAAAAACAACTCACTGTAGCCAATAGAGAAGAAGGTAATAATGGGAAACGGAAAAGGCTGATGAGTGCGTATGGTAAATAAAGAAAACGTATATTGTTTGTTAATGTTTACTTAAATACAACAACGCAGAAATGTAATGAAAAAAAAACACACCACACACACACTGCCAACAATGATGCTAATCGTTTGCTAGTGTGTTTACATGGCAAACAACCTCAGCATAAAGGCAAAAGGGCTTAAGTTATTGGACTTTTTGATGAGATAAAAAATATTCGATTTGTTATAGAAACTAATCAAAAACTTAACATGGATATTTAGGGAATCTACCCCACTATTAAAAAAATTAAATTTAACTAGCCAAAAATATAACAAATTCCGAAAAATATGTCAAAGAAACCAAACGACTTATGAAACAAAAACCCTTTAATTTTTTTACCAAACTGATATTTGAAATTATTTTTTCGAAAATTTTCAAACAATAAACCTGCTTCTTTACGCTTATTAAATAGACATTTAAACATTTCACAACAAACAACAACAAATTTAGAACTGAATAACTGTGTGACAAATTCTATACACTATAAATATGGTAAAAATACCACAACATAAAACCACATGATTCACTTACTGGCCCTTTGAATAGATACCTTTGTGTGTGCGTTTGTGCATGGCCATGGTTTAATATGGTTCTTTGGCAAATTGATTTTTATGCTTACTCTATGGTCAAACGAATAAAGGATGATTTGTGGGCAAACAATATGCTAAATGTTTTGACCATTTAACTATTTTTAAGAGGCCTAGCAAGGCCGTTAATAATTGATTTTTGTGGTTGTGAAAAAGAAGAAATTTCTCTTGAATTTTTTTTCACCCCCAACCAGAATCAGGATAACACGAAATTTTATCAATTTGATTTTTATCTTTTTTATTGGTGGTTAAACAAATGGCGGCATGCTTCCTTTTTGTTGTTGAATGCTAATATTTGTCTCCAATTTAAGAGTTAGTATTTGTTTTTTTTTTTATTTTTCTCTAAAAAAAATGGTCTACACAAAATTTCCCCATCATCATCACATCATCCACATCACCTTGTTTAAATAAATTTAAACCTTTTTCCCTGGAAATCCCAAAACCATTTAACCAATCAAACTTAAGACCCAATGGCGTACTTTTTGTTTTGGTCATACGCCATTGTGTAAATATTTATTTAAATGCATTCACATTGCCTAAATAAAGAAAACCTTTTTTGTTTTCTTGTAAAATCACCTAAAAGAAAAGGTGTAATAGAATTTGTTTAAATGATTTTCGATTTGTTTCTTGTTGTTTATCCATTTAGAAAGGGGCGCATTAAAATCAAAGGGTTTTTTATTTAAATCGTTTATTTAAATAATGGCTGTCTTTAATTGATTTGGAGGAAAAGAGTTTAAAAAAATTTTGGAAAATATTTTCTGTTATTTTAAGTAATTTTGTATGTTTTATTATTACAAGTTTGTGTCTTAAGTCTTTTGTTTTTATATATAATTTATTATATTATATATATTTGAATTTTTATTTCATTAACATTATTTCTTTGTGGATCTGATTGTTTTATAATTTATTTTTTATTCATAAAGTTTGTGTCTTAAGTCTTTTGTTCTATTTTTGTTTAATTGGTATTTAATTTGTAAGAGTTCGCTTCTTAAATCTTTTGATTGAATTGCTAATTTCTCTCATTTTTTATTTATTATAAATTTAATTAATTTTATTTATTTATTTTTTTAATTTTAGCGTTGCAAAGAAAAGTTAAACACCTTAGCCATCTCCGTAATGAACCAATGGCCTGGCATTCGTCTACGTGTCACAGAAAGTTGGGTCGAGGAACAGCTACCCTATACCAACTCCCTGCATTATGAGGGTCGAGCTGTGGATATTACCACCTCCGATCGGGATCGCAGCAAATATGGTATGCTGGCCCGTTTGGCAGTGGAGGCAGGATTCGATTGGGTCTACTATGAGACCAGAGCCCACATTCATTGCTCTGTCAAATCTGGTAAGTTTCAAAACAACTTCAACAAAAACATTTAAATTACGAAAAATTCCATTAGTCCTGAAAGTGTTAATAATAGAGTGTAAAAAAGTCACACCAATCTCTTTGCTCTTTTCTTATTACCTTGTAATTGGTGATAAATGGTGGTGTTTCGAAATTTTTCCTTGTGGAATTGCCTTTTTCATTGGAATTGACACTAACAAGCGTTCGGATGGGTTTTTGTTTTGCATAATTTAACATCAATTACCACAAGAAGAGATTCTAGGGAACCAAAGGCGAAGATTCCAAGTAGCCGAACCAGACCATAAATAGCTTAAGGCGTAAATTAGATTTGTGTATTCATGCAAATCAAATTCAATTAGAAATGCTTAGCAGCGATATGGCTTAGAAATGCTTGGACACTCATTATGTCATGATGATGGGGCCAGATGAATGGTTTCTTGTGGCTAAACACTTTTCTTCTTAAAACAAAAACCATGAAATATCACACCGCTGTGTTGTTGTGGTTGTGTTTTTCTTCTTCTTTGACATGTTGTTGCCTTTGTGCCTGTCAAATTAAGCGACACCCAAAGAATCGTTTCTCATGCAGTAGAAGAACAACACAAATTCCAAAGAAGTAAAAAAGAAAGAAACAAAATAAAAATAAGAACACGCTGAGAATCGAAAGACTGCATACAGCATCCGTTGTAGTAGCCATGGCACTTAAGCTTCGTAGCATATTTAAAAAAATGCGCTTTTCATAGGCATTCATGTAATACACGATGTGGCTCCTGATGACTTTTCACTAAGACTTAAGACTTACCAACCTATGGTTTCTGGTTGTTAAGCAAACCACAAAACCGGAATGCTTTTTTGTTGGTTTTTTTTTCAACAACAAAAATCCCAGCTTAAATATCGGCATCATCTCTTTGTTACTGTTGGAGCAGCTTCTTCCTCTTGTTTTCTATAGGCCGGTAAAAAAAAACATGATAACCAAACAACAACAAAAAAGAAGAAACATACAACAACCATTTTTATCCAACATGCTTCATTAACAATGTGTTTAAAAATACCTGTTTTTGGGTAGAAACACAACAACAACAATAAGATATATTGACTACAAATATAAAAACAAGCCAGCCATCCAACCAACCAACCAGCCATCATAATCATTATTACCATTAAGCAGCATCTTCTTCTTCTGTTTCTTCTCCTGTGTTTTTTTTCTCTTTTTGTAAATTTAAACTGACTTAAAGAAGCAGCAACCATTGGCATCCACCACCAACTAACCCATTGGAAATTAATTTTTAAAGCCTGTTTTAACAAACAAGCAAACAACCATATACCATACAATACCACAACTGATCTTCTTGATCATATGCCAAATACAATACAATACAATAATACAGGAACAACAACAAAAACGACTAACCACCAATTGCACCAGCCAAAAAAAAAACAAAAACACACAAGCCAAGTTCGTGAGATCCCTGAGATTGCTTATGGAATCTCACGATGACTACGACGAAGGCCCAAAAGAACAAACTTGTCTATACAACTTGTACAAAACAGTACAACCAACCAGCCAGTCTGCCCGTCATACAGTTTAGTTTAGCCGACAAACACCATTTGCAGACATGTTTTGTAGTTATTTTAGGAGCAAAACAAAGAGAAAATGTTAAGTGAACAGAAACACACACACACACACAAACATAGAAATTTTTAAGGATATGATTTTACACGGGGAAATTTTGCTTGGGGAGGTTGTGAAAGGTCTAAATAAAATAATATATTAGGATCATATGAAAATTTTTTTAAAAAACCATTCCAATAAAAATCCATGCCAAAAAATGTTTTTAAAAAATCCACAAATTTTTGAACAATTAAAAAAAAATGAAATAAATTGCAGGATTTTTTATGTATAGAAGATACTTCATTTATTTAAAAAAATGTTTTCTAACATTTTTTTAAATGCTTATTTTAGCAAAATTTTTAAGGCTTTGTAATAACAAGTTTGTGTCTTAAGTCTTTTGTTACCAGCTCGCCTTTGTACGTACGCCCGAGTTTACTCTCAGTTTCTTCTCAAATATCATAAAGAGAAATTTATGCAATGATTTATAATTTATAAAATTATATAATTGGTAACACTTTTGATGACATTTCTGATTTAAAAAAATCAAAATTTAACTTAAAATCCCATTCAAAAAATCTCTTTTCAATCCTTCAGTCATCCCTCCATTCATTTTTTTGTTTTTTTTTCTCCCAAGAGATTACAATTTCAAAGGCGGCAACTAATTAAAAAAATACTCTCCAACAACAACAACAAAACCCAGCCAAATGACCGAACCTCAAAAGAAACTGAAAATATTACACAAAATATTGTGACACTTTAAGCAATATCACTTGACACTTGTATGAAGAAAAATATTGATCCTTTTTACACACACACACAGACAACAAAAGGATATTTTTTACAAAAACATAAATTGTGTCCAGACGTACCTTTGAAGCCACCGCATAAATGACAATTATGTCAAAGTGAAATACCTACTGAATGTGTGGTCTTTGACATTTGACCCTTTTTAGGGGTTTTAAGAGATTTTTTTGACTACTTTTGAAGAGAGTTTTTTATCAATTGCCGTGATTGGTCAGTGGTTAGGTTTTATTGTTGATTGTGTGTGTGTATTTTTATAACGTGGAAATTTGTTTGTTTTCTTTTATTTCTTATCAATTTATAAAATAAAAGAAACACATTCCATTAATGCCTCGTTTAATTTATGAGCTACATGGCTTGGCCCAAAAAATGCTTCCATGTGGGGGTTAACAGCTTTTTGGGCCATCATATATTTCACAGCCATATCTCTGAATCTTTATAATTCCGATATTGGATTACCGTTACCACAGTAGGGTTATACGATCATGTATTTGAAAAAAAAAGAACAACAACAAATATATGAACAAAAGAAAAGCCAAGTGCCTTAAAATCTTCGATGCTCTCTTTTTTGTTAATGTCTGCCAGAAGGCGTTGTTAGTTTTGATTTAAATGGCTAACCTCAAATAACAGGAAAATGGTTTCATAATTTGTTTAAAAAAAACAAATGGGTGGTCTATTTACAAAAGACAACAAAAAAACCCAATTATTTTAATAATCAATAGTTTTTTTGTGTGTATGTATGTTTGTGTATGTTCGCCCTTATCAAGATCACATGTCAGAATTTTGGAAAATATTTTGATTTTGTAACAAGGATAAGAAAAACGCCTCAAAGGAGAAATAAATCCCCGAAAACAAAATTGCAAATTTAAAAAACAAGGATTTGAGAAATTTCAAAATTTCAACAAGCTATTACAATTGGCTTAAAATACCTTTACCCGATTGCTTGCTCCGTCTGACAGGTAATCGAACTCACTGTATGGTGTGTGAGTGTGTATGGATTACAATTGCAGCATTCCCATTTCTCTTTTTTTGAATATTACGTTAATCTGTTTTGTTTTGTGGCTCGAGTTCACAATGAATGATGTGAAATGGATGATACCGGCCTTTAATCTCTTGAGAAAACAAGATCAGTTTACCAAAAAAATGCCGGGTACCGCAAATCCTTACACACACACAAAAGGAAACTGATATGCCAGTTGTTGGATGGTATGAAAAAAAGGCGGAATATCCGAACCGCACACACAATAATAATTTCAGGGTCTATTGGCAACTGTGAAAGGCTTTTTGACTCTAATAATAGGATTTGCAAAAAAAAAGTGAGCATCCTTTGCTGGGTATTATTAATGCTAAATTAGATTAGGTGTCCCAGCCCTAGCTGGATTAGTAGAGCAAGCGTGCCATGTTGGGAGATTATTATTTTTTCTTTTTGTTTCTGAAGGATTGGCAAAATCTTGAGATTTAGGATCGGCCCTGAGGATTAGGAAACTTTTCGCATGGTTGTGACTTGACTTGGTTCAGTCAGAGGCTGCAAATAAAAGTCAATGTCAGGTGAGGGAAGGGTGGCAAATATGGAAAATATTTCTTCGAATGGGGACTCGTAGAAAATCTAGTCAGGAAATTAAAAAAAAAAAAATCCCTCTAAAGGGTCTTAAATTTTTAGAGCACCTATATGAGTTCCTCTATTGTAAAATTTACTCAAGATAATTCTCAGAAATCCTAGATGGTATTTCATCTTCAGAACAGCTATATTTGTCTCTTCTGTTTACCAAAATATCAATGCAAGACCCTTTATAGGCCTTAGAAACTCCTTAATAGACCTTCACCTAAAAATCGACAAATTTTACTCCCTCAAAAAACACTTTCTTTAAATTTTTTATCAAAAAATATTTTTTTAATGTAAAATAAATTACTAATCAAAATGTTTTCTCTCTCTATTTCCAGATTCCTCTCACACGCCCCATGACAGTGGTTGTTTTACCAAAGACAGTACCGTGCTAACATCAAACGGCGAACGTAAGGCTATGACCGATTTACGCATTGGTGATCGTGTACTGAGCATCAACGAGCAAGGTGAAGCGATATATAGTGAAATTATACTCTTCATGGATCGTAATATGGATGAGGCCCAAGAATTTGTGCAAATGACCACAGAGGGAGGAGCCACTCTCACTGTGACCCCGGCTCATTTGATAATGATCTGGAATCGTGAAAAATCGGTGACAGAATACGTTTTTGCTGATCGGGTACAGGAAGGAGATCAAGTATTTGTCCATGACTCAACTGGTGAACTGAGGCCACAACGTGTTGTCGATTTGAGAGCAGTATTGAAACATGGCTTTGTTGCTCCCCTAACCAAGGAGGGTACAATTGTTGTGAACTCCGTGGCAGCCTCATGTTATGCTGTCGTCAATAGCCAATCCTTGGCCCATTGGACTTATGCCCCTGTAAGAATATGGTCAATGTTGAAATCGTATTTACCCTCCAGCTCCTCCTCCAACACCGCCACCACAGCACAAATGCAAAATGGTGTACATTGGTATGGCAAGACATTGTATGGCATTAAAAATTATCTTGTGCCCAAGTCATGGAGGCATTGATGAAGCAACAGGATGCATCGATTTTTTTTATCAATAACTTCTTGCTAGTTAACTGGTTGATTGTTGGTTAATAACTGGTGGTTGCATTCTATTCAAAAAAAAAAAAACCAACTAGGCTATAAGTAGGAAAAAACAATTATTAAAAATTTTCAATACCTGAAACAAAATGCGCATGCGCTTAGTATTCTCTGCAAAAAAAAAAAAATAAAACTAAAAAAATTGCAAAAAAAACAGGATTTGAGTTGAGTTCATATCCTCCATTTAGAAACACCCCCCTCAATAACCCATTAAAAAACTAAAATCAAAATTTGTAAAATAAAAACAACATTTATTTTAACGAAACCATAAAACAACAACAAACTATTTGAGTGATACAAAAAACCAATCAAAACAATAAAAAACGAAAAAAGAACCCTGTAAATATGTATGTATGTAGCTGACAAACCATCTAGATGTAACTAAATTAAAATAATGGAAAAACAAAACAAAAATCATATGTATTTAAGTCAAATCCCCCTAGTTGTGTATAAAAATTTATTTAATTGAAAAAAGAAACGCGTGCGTGTATAATTATTTGTATTTGCGAATTATTTAAAAAAACCCCTCCGACTTATTTTGTATATAATTGTCGTTTCAATTTTTAATCGAATTCTCTTTATATATTTTCTATAACTATTACTTTCTCCTTTAAAAAAAATATTATTTATATAATTTATTATTATTATTATTACTATTTTTGGCAATTGTTTTGTGTAATGGATTATGTTTTTTTTTTATTGAAATACTATTATATTTTTATTATAAAATAAAAAAACAAACACACCCACACAAAATACTAATTTAATGAAAAATAAAATATGAAAAAGTTTTAAAAAATTTAAAAATTAAATTATTGTTTTTATTTGTATACACTTTGTAGGAAAGTGGGAAAATAATGGGTACTTGGGAAAATTTTGGACAAATAGTTACAAACAAAAAGGGATGGCGTGATGACAAATGTCCGAATCTTGACATGGTTGAATTTAATTTGTAGATGCAATTTCGCAAAAAAAAATCGATATAAATACAACATATTAAGTACCGACGTTTGTAAACCACATTGCCCAATATGTCTGATGAGCCGCATAACCAATGGTGAAATGCGTACATAATGGTGGGAATGTAGTATCGCTCTGGCTTTCTTTTTTATTGTAACTTCGATCATGTAGCTCTTATCGAAATACAGATAAATAAAAATATCGTGTAAACTATAAATTTATGAGAGTGAATCGAAAAAGGCACACATTATTCTATAGTATAAATATGGAGTCATATAAAATTTTAGTCATACCATCGACTTGGACAATGCAATTTAATATTTTTCAAAAAGTGGAATTATTCGAAGTGTGCCCCTCATACCTAATTCAGAATCGATTTCAACAAAAAGTTTAATATGTTTAAGTCATTCTAGATAAAATTCTATATGGAATGAAAAATTCATCTGGATTCCGACTCTAACCCTATTTAGAAGTCGAATTCGGTGTTGACTCGACAAAAGAACGAGTAAGGAAAGTAGTAAAGTCGGAGTGGATATTATATATATATATATATATGGATATTATATATATATATATATATATATATATTCATCACCTTCATCAATGGGTATATTCTACATACGAATCCTAAAAGACGTTGCCTTTTCGAAGGAACATTGACATGAAATTAAACGAACTTAAATATGTCGATCGGCCTAGCTATGGATCTTTAGTGCGCCATTTACTTATAATACTTACTTATAATAAAAATATATATAGGAGGTGTATGTAAATCTGAACCGACTTATAAGAAACTTTGCACACATCATTCTAGAATTTATTAATTTACTTGGTGCATCATTTACATAAAATTTAGTATGCTATGCCAAAATTTGGGCAAATCAAAAGATTTGCAGCGACTTTGGTGCACCATTTACCTAAAATCGGGCGAAACTATATATCTATCTCTAAATCTGAACCTATTTTCACGAAGCTTCGCACACGTCATTCTAGACTCAACTCAGCATGCTGTGCCCAAATTCGTGCAAATTTTTTGGTCCATTTCATCCTCTAAATATTAACCGATCTTTACCTAAAATAATAGAAGTCTTCATTGGCCAGAACCCATCCAACATGCAAAATTTTGTGAAGATTGGTCCATAACTGTGGTCTACATCGCGTTTACAAAATACAATGGACAGACGGACGGACACACAGGGTTAGACTCAGCTAGTCGAGATATGAGATCGGTATACTTAGCGGTGGGACAACTTTCCAATCATCGTTATTGTGCTGCAATTGTTGTATATTCAACAGATGCATCCTAACAGACGTCTCATTTTTGAAGTACGAATTTACATTTCTTTATCTATATTTTAACTGCCTAAAATCCATCTATAAATATGTCATTCTGCAACCTATGCTAAAGTTCATTTCATTCGGGCAGATTTAGTGTCGTTTGTCGTACATTGGAACAACATATTCGGTATGCTGTAGCACATCGCCCTATGCAAAATTCAATCTCAATCAATTAACATGAAGTCGGTCGAAAATATATATGGGTCATATGTTCACCATTTCCTTAAAATCTGACTAAACTATATATGGGAGCTATATCTAAATCTGAATCGATTTCAACGAAACTTGCCAAAGGTTATTTTATTCAAATTTCAGTGCGTTGTTCAAAATGTTGTGCCAATCGGCCAAATTATGGGTCGTTGGTGCACCATTTAGTTAAAATCGTCGAAAAAATATATGTCAGATATATTTAAATCTGAACCGATTTCAACGAAACTTTGCACACATTAAGCTATACTAATTTCAGTATGTCGTGTAAAATTTTGTGTAAATCGGTCTAACTTTGGGTCTTTGGCGCATTTACGTAAAATCGGTCGAAAAAATATTTCAATAGAGTTCGTCCTTGGGTAGTCTGTGTTAAATTTTACCCATTTCGGATCATAATTACAATTTAACATGGACAGACGGACGGACACGCTCAGAAAGTGATTCTATGCATATTCTCAAAAGTAACCATGGGTCTATCTTGTTTCCTCTTGCCTATTACATGCATATGCACAAAGACGTCGACAAGTTCGGTTGGACCGAACTGTTTAACCCTCCACCAACTGTTGTGAATTCAAAATTCCTTAAATCGATCGGGACATATATATGTAGGGATTATATCAAAACTTGGACTTACATAGACAATTTTCCAATCAAATTTGTATTACGGTGAAATAACTCGGAATTTTAGCCCCTATAAACTCTCCAAAATACCGAAATGTGCGATGTTCCGTTATGGGGACTTCTCTAAAAATTTAACCAATATTGATCATTTTAGTTTTTTGACACGTCATGAGAATCTGAAAAATCAAATTAGTACCAATTCGGTTATAAAACGTACCCAAAACTCAAAATATCTAATAATCGTGGTTACCATTAAATGAGGGCTACCCGGAAACATGGACCATGGTTGATAACTTTTAGTAGGGACAGTTTCTACTTAATGAAAATCCAAAATATTAAATTGCTCTCAAATTGGTTGAAACACATTCTCAAGCTCCCCATAGTACCGATCTTTGGGTTGTAGCGTTATATGGGAGCTTCTCTAAAAAGTGCACCAGTTGTGATCATTTTTGTACAAATAGGTTGAAATTAGGTTGAAACATGTGCCAAATGCTCAAAATATTGGGGCTTCTGGGAAACTATTTATTTTTATACCCTACACAACTATGTTGTCAGGGTATTATAGCTTTGTGCAGCCCCAAATGTTTGTAACGCCGCGAAATATTGGTCCTAGACCCACCTTTAAGTATACCGATCTCGACTAGCTGAGTCGATCTAGACATGTGTGTCCCTCCGTCCGTCCGTCTGTCCATTATAATTTGTAAACACGATACAGGCCACAGTTATGGACCAATCTTCACGAAATTTTGCATGTAGGATGGGTTCTGGCCAATGAAGACCCCTATTGTTTTTGGAAAAGATCGGTTAATATTTAGGGGATGAAATGGACCAAATACTAAATTTTTGTCGGTTTTTCTGGTCGCTCCAGAGGCCGCAATTATGGCCCAAACACCGCGAATTTTTGCATGGAGAAGGGGATCGGGTCAGAGAATAAGCGTGCATGTTTTGATAAAGATCGGTATTAGCGGGTCAAATGGACCCTGACTTTTGTGTGAAAAATGACAAAATTTGTATTCTATGGCATATATATTTACTCCTGGAGGATGTAGACCCTAGGAGTTGATAACATATCCAAGAGGAGTGGTTGACCTTTAAATTGATACCAAATATAGTGATGTATCTACTCAGATGTGGGAGTTACAGTCAAATATTTACATGTGCTCACGTATTCAGATATTATTTAGTAATCCATTACCACATTAAAGGGACAAATATCGCGCTGATGGCTTTGAAATTTTCAATGAAGTTCCAGTTATGGTCAAGAACAACGCCTACAATTTTCGGTGATGATCAGATTAAAATTTTGGGATGAAATGGACCGAAAACATAATTTTTTGTGTGTTTTCGAGTAGAGTATAATCCGAAAATCACAACACACCCACCGTGAAGGTAATCTGGACAAGTAATTATAAGGACTTTACAATAGGGGGCTGTACAAGAGGGGGCAAATATCAGGAAATATTACTCAGACTCGGAATAAACATCCTCAGAAAGTTAGAGTTCGTGGTAGTTGTGTAGATTATCGTATGGTCGGCCCCGTCCGACTATACTGCTCCGCTCACTGGTTTATATTCGAAATGTAATCAGATATGTATGAAATGAGAAATATATCAACAGGTAAAAAAGGTGACAGTCGGTGTTGCCGGCAGATATATACCCTCAATCTAAAGTTTGTGGAAGTCTACGGAATTATACACATGTTTTATAATTCGTTATATTAAGCTCAACTCGAAAGACTATAAATAACCCACTTAAAATATAATTCAAATGATTGCTGCCCTCACAAGGCAAAATTCA